TTTCCGGTTCCGCGAAAGCTAAATCTGTTTTTGTTTTTTTTTTGGGGGGGGGGAGATGATTCAATGTGAAACTGAAATTGAGCTCAGGGTAACCGTGCAGAATATACTGGGTGTCCGGTGGAAAGCAAAAATACAACATCTTATTTCCACCGAAACAGTTTAACAATGTGCAGAAAATTAAACGCTATCTCTTGCTAAAGTCAACCCTGCTTCTGAATCATCCATATTAGCAGGTAATTAGTTAATGCTCCTGTTGCTGCATTGATTTAAAAATAGTTCAATCATCCAACCCAGTCACCACTGTTATAACCCGACTTGTAGTGCAGTGTAGCTGGAGAGATTCTAACTGTATCGTCCGACAATAAAATCAAAGTTAACACTGTCAGTTGAGTGAAGATTACTCAATGAATAACCTAATTATCAAGAGGCGTCGATAACAAAAGGAACATTCACGGCTGGTTGATACATATGCTCCGATCTTTACCTCACCAATACGACAATAGGAATGCTACAGAGAACATGGGTCCTCAAGCCAAAAACGTGCCAACTACATCATTCCGGTCGTGCCGGCTGGGCACAGTATGTGACTGCGGACAACACACCTAGTGGAATTGAAACAACGTCAAACGATGCCAGTGCATGGGAGGAGATAGTCCCCATTACACATCTAGTCCGATCGAACTAGCTGAAAATGAAATCAGTCACTATGAGCTCGGGTTCGGTTGATGGAGTTACAGATTGCGCATAAGTGATCTTTGTCAAATGGTCCGGAGCGAAGGTCTTCAAAAATGAGGAGTCGACTGTTCGCCACATCTATTACGATCAACCGTTCGTTTTCGTTTACAGTCATAACCAGTTGAAGACTAGCATACTCACCAGATATCATAAATCGAGCAAGTTATTCCTAGGGATTGTAAATATTCGCTTCGTTTGTACTCCAGTGGTGCAAAATTACTTGAGAATTCTGGATAATTAAACATCTGAGATGTGCGGGGTTCGGTGGTCCAAGTACTGGCCACAAGCATTAGACGTGGTCGGTGCCACATGCATGGAACAGAACTATCCCACGATATGGCACGCGAGTCACGTCGATGGCTTTGAAAGCGTAGCTGCCGAGTTTCCTGAGCTAAGTGATCATTACATCACCTTTGGTGCTCGGCTGTATCTCCTGCGTCATCCAATTTTCTAGTGGCTAAAACTGTAGCAGCTGGAACGAACGTACCCTTAGTACCTGGTTCATAGCTGATAAACTGAGTGACTGATTGAACGAAGGTCTTTTCAGACCCAGTAAAAATACCCCGATGCGAGAAGTCACATGAAATGATTCAGAGGGACAGGCAAGTATGATCACAAGAGCGCAGTACAAAGTGGTCTTGAAGAAATTAGAGTTGAAATTTCGTTTCTTGCGGATTCTGAATGTCTGAGGACTCAATAGATAGGATTTAAGCAGTATTTTCAGCCGAACTCCGTGAAGAAGTCAGCAATGGTAACCATGGTTAGAAGGAGATGAAGTTTCAACCATCGGCATGTGCTGGAACTACAACCCTTTCCCCCAATTGAGTGCAATTGAAGTTAAGAGACTTCGAAGAAAGCGAAATTCCCTGTCTCACATGGATCCTCCTACAAGAAGATACAAGAAGAACCCATAACAGTTGCATCTCAGAAGAGAACGATCTACCTACCCAAATTTTAAAGTGTGTGCGCAACTAGCAACTAGTCCATGGATTCAGTGTGATATCGCATTTAGGTATCTGTCGGGTTGTTGAAGAATCAATGCTAAAACGGTGCTGAATGCATGTGTGGTGTTTCGTAATATAAGGCTTGTGGTCTGTGCTTGAACGAGTATAGCCAGTTCAATGTAGCTTAAGTAAAGATTATCTCGAAGAGTAGGTACCGTACTTTTAAAATCTCGATCAGCGGTGGATCTGCAGCACTCTTCTTTATAGCAAACACTTCACGAGTAGTCAAACCATTTCCACCTTTGGGGTACTGCGTACTTGGGGGTTCGGGTCGAACCCGAGGTAAAATAAGACAAGGTTTTGAAGATCCTGTAACTCAGTGATCATTCGACAGCACGGGTCTCCTCTTTTTTACCACACTAAACACAGGGTTGTCTCATTCAACCGTGCTAGGGAGAATTCTATACAGGTACCGCTTCACCGCTCGCAGTCAGGCACTGCTACGGCCGAGAAGCCTATCCCGCACAAGGTTGACCAAAAGTTCGGGCAGCTTGCCAGTCCGGCATCAAGGCGAGCTTCGATTAGTCGAAAGTATGGACCAATCATGACCCAGGTTCGCCGAACGCCGGTCGCCATTGGCGCATCCAGAAGGCGTCAGAATTTGAAGAATATTGCCGCACCATACACTTTATATGCGACGCGCCGTAATTGTGCTTCTGACCTGGTTTTAAGCGTTAATACACGTCGTGCACCTTTGGTGGTTGCTTTTTGCGGGAACCCCAGCTTGAGAGATTCAGATCGAGAACTAAGCTGAGGGAAACTAACTTTATTACAAACCTGCAGCCTTTCGATTAACAGTCTGGACATAGATTTGCCATGCATCCAAGATAGCGGCTGTGACATTCTGTTTATCAAACAGAATCATTTATTCTGAAACGTTTTCAACCTGTCATTACCAGCTATCAACTCTGAACAGTCAATCCTACGCGTCCTGTTCTTAAAGCGACCTCAGTAAATGTGATATTATTCCCCTAAATTATGACACATAATCGTTAGATCTTTTTCAGAACCAGGCGCGTTTCATTGCGTGAACCAACCTACTCGGCAATTGGTCCTTTGCTGCCCTGTAACTTGATATCTCCTCTGGTTGAGACAATGTGCTGTACCTGGAAGTAGCTAAGAATAAATGCATTCATAAACTTCTAGCGACCTGTGCTGCTTCGTTGTGATAATACCTTGATGTATACCGGTACTCGAGGCAACTACCTATCAACAGAATTGAATGTCACTCAGAGGTCATCATCTAGTTGAAACAAGATACACAAGCACAACACTGACAGAAATCTGCGCGCCACAAAACCACTACGCATCGCTAACCCATTCAACTGGCAATGCAACTAAACTTCCTAAGGTGAGCGAAAAAATCGACTGAAAACTAAGACTTTCACTTTCGGAGACCGACAAACATTTCCGTGTAAAAATCAACCGAAAAGCCATCTTGCGTTTGTGAAATGGAATGAACGCCCACCAGAGTAGCGCAATTAATTGTACCATAACAATAGCTTGTGGTACCTTAGTTCTTCTCGAATAAATGAAACTCAATACCTTTCGCTTCGTCTATTGAGTTAAATGTCACGTAAACGAACGGAAATTTCGGGTACTTGTAAGTTGGTTGTATTATTTCTAGCAACCAAGGAACAGATAATAACAAACTGAGGGTTGCCCCACTGAGGTGATGCTCTTGCTGATCGATTTAAAAAAATATTTTGCTGCGTAAAGGATTGCTTTCTCAGTTAAGAAAACACAAAAAAGGTAACAGCATTGTATTGATATTTTAGGAAATCCGGAGATCGGTACAGTGTCCCTACATTCGAGGTTTAGGAAGATGGAATTTTCTCGTAAAGGGTATCGTCAAAAAATTTCTGTGATGGTAGATTTCCGTCCAAACTACATTGGCCATATGTGGTTCCCCACCCCACACCCCTGGGTTGGATTGTCTACCTGTCGTCTAAATACCACGGATCTGTAACTTGAGCTCAAAAGTGCGCTACGGAGACTGACTTTCGCAGCATGGATATACAGTACACGTTCAAATTCTTTATCGGACCCATGGCGACCGGTTTAGTTCGACTCGTAGTGTCCCTGTATTTGGTTCACACTCAGTTGATCTTGTGAATATTTATCCGATACGTACACCAAATACCTGTTTTTGGAAACTAAGGTACCACAAATAATCGAGTCGTTCATAATTGTTTCTTGGCAGCCGTTGTATCTAGAACGTTCGACCAACTGTTTGAGCCACGAAAAAGCTACGAAAAACGGCTTACTTTCGATAAAGTGTAAATCAGATAGAGGACAATCCCAACAGCGTAGACTGGAAGTACCACGGACATAAGTCCTCCACGCTTGCCACTCGGCTTCTGAGTCTCCGCATCCACTGCACGAATGGAAGGACGCGGTCTGTTAAAAGCACCCTAGGTATGTAAAGCGAGATTAATTAAAGACAGCATGTCACACGTGTGGATCGAATGGAGGACGGTTTAAGTGGTGAGAGTCTGCCAATTAAAAAGATCAGCGGATTGTATTCTTCTAACCTGCATCGCTCGATGCAGCCTTGGAAAAACCTAAAGCATGCATCAACATGGGGTGAAATATCCTCGGATAAAGTAAAGAGAAACAGCCAATCATCACACCGCAGACGACGTAAGTCTGCAACCGAATCGAAGAATCTGACATGTCTGGCTTATTTTATTTTCCGTAGACGGATCTGGAAGAAACAAGAAACAATGGATCAATATCACATAGTTTCGGTGCGTGGTGGGGTATTAAACTGGACTGATATTGAATTTTTTGTCTTCCACCAGACATTCTAGCCATGCTTTAACCAAGTCGTTTAATCCGTTTGATAAGCGTGGGCCGTGTACTATGTACGGCGGTTCAGGTCACCATAGCGCGTGAGTGCGGGTAGTCGAAGATGAATTGAAATCACCAGTGCAGAAGGAAAAACAGGAAAAACACTGGATTAATGATTGAAAATAAGAAAATAGATGTAACAACACTGGCCGCGTGACGGTTTTGCGCCGGCGTGTACCTCCAGTCAGCAGTGTGGTGGCTATTTTAACCCCCGACTAAGTAGACATGCCCCGTCGTAGCTAAGACCCCTACCCATGTTTTGCAAGCCCCATCTTTGGGTTGTGGATTGCAATCTAGTAGTAACTTCCATTCAGATTCGCGGCTACTCCGAACGTCCGGTGCGTGAAGCCAAAAAGTCAGAATGTCTGATTCAACCCCGAAGCAGAGTAATCCCGACCAGCTCTGTCCCTTCTGGATATATTACAACGGCTGCCTAACGTTCCCTTATGAACGTCGTGATCCGTACCTTCGCAAACGGAATCCAAATTCAAGTTTGAAGAATCTGAAAGCAATGTTGTTTAATGAGCAGCAAGTAAGTTGCAATACAACATTCAATGGACTAGGAAAGGGTGTCGGGAGGGGAGGTGAGCGAAGGGATGCAAGGGCGGATTACACTTGTCGGTTGCCCGGGCCCAAGAAGGATGGTTGGTTGAGGTACCCCATCTTGAGCATTTGACTCAAAACCCTGGCAATCAAAGCAGTGGGAGGATGCAACGTTTTATTCAGGGACCCTGCCCACCGCACCTAACTATAAAGTTTCACCAGCGGGACAGCTGTTGTTGGGGTTCCTTGGGAACCGTACCCGGAGCCGCTGACTGCAGGGGACCAAACTGGCTCACACACGCGGCAAGCAAGGCATTACTGTCTCCATCCAACTGCGGTCGCAATTGCCTTTTGAGTAGCATCACAATGCTTGACTCGGAAATTATTTGGATCGTACTGGATAGTGCGACGGCGATCACGGTCAATTGTTTGGGAGTATCGCTCGTTCCAGAAATATTGAGACAGCCGGCGCCTTAAGGAAACGCCTTATTGCCTTCAAATCCATGGGGCAGAACGATGGAACCACGACGGAACTTGGAACGGCACACGCCGTGGAAGTAGCCCCGCTTCTCGAGCTAGGCACTTTGAACGAGGATATCTTTCACGATGTCTTTCTTCTGATGGCATCACGTGATGGCTGAAACCGTTCACCTGTAACACGCTTTCGGTGCCTAGCTGCCATGACACCCGGAGGAAGCACGAGGGCCGGGATGCTGCCAGGTTGCCCAAGCCTAGACAGGGGAAGTAAAGCGGCAGATGTCGGGTTCAAACCACGGACCTTCCGGTCGGTAAATTTGCGCTCTAACCCCTTGGGCCATCTCGCCACGTGACGGCTGACGTGGTACGAGATTATTTTCAAATGCGACATTTATGTTTGTACATGGACAGGGACAATTCCAGAGACCCCACACCTAGACAGGAAGAAGATTAGAGCCTCCGATCAAACCCTTTGTCTCAAAATTCCAACTGCAAGGCCGTGGTGGTTGGCATAAGACGGTCGGAGTAACGTATACTTTTTAGGAGCGAGTCGTTCCATGTAGTAAGACGTTACCTCCAGACCACCTCGTAATACGATTTCTCGCAGTATGGGATATCGCTGTTATTCATTGAGCTGGTATGGTTGGACCTTGGGGAACTGCGTTCCAGCCCACTGTAGTCCGCAGGATCATTGCAGCACTGAAACCCAACCACCACGTCAAGGTGACAGCTATGGGTCTGGGTCATCAAGTGCGTTCTAACTCCAAGCCTAAGGGACCAGATGACTGTTTTGGTTGGTCTTCCAGCCGTTAGCCAACCTGTCATAAGACTCTGAGTGCTACACAATCCTCAGTGTGACTCAGTGGGCTATGCAGTTGCACGAACCACCACATCGCAGTCCACCCCAAACTCCCCGTGGCAGTAACATGCGATAACATCCGGCAGAAAACGAGCAGCCAAGAGAACCCCAATTCATCAAGTTTTTCAAATAGAACTTCTCACATTGACACACGAAATTGGTTGTGGTCTTCGGGTTCCTCCGATTTCCAGTATGATTTCTAGCATGCAATCCTCGTCCTTATCACAATAAAGTTCCCAACGTAAACGTTTGTTTCTCAGGGGTCGCTTTTTCTTCACTGTCTTCATTGTGTTACGCTGTCTCTTACGGTCTTCAGACGACGTGTCCTAGCGTATCCTGAAGTCCGTAACCGTGTAAGATAATGAGAGGAAACTTCTCTGTCGAGTTCATGATTACTTTGAGTAACCTTGAGTGAGTAGCTCATTCAGCATTCTTTCCGACGTAAGCGTTTCTTAGCATTGACCTAGTAACCTTTTGATTATCAGCCCTAAATCCCTCACTTATGCACCGCCCAGGTGGACGTCCATGCTCGGTTTTCTCTAGTAACCTTTTGATTATCAGCCCTAAGTCCCTCACTTATGCACCGCCCAGGTGGACGTGTAAACGCATATTCGGCGTCGGTATTGCGTTCATCTTGTGAATGCCAATCCATCCAGCGGCGTGATCCTCAAGTATCACAGCTGAGGCTGGTAGTTGGTCGACAGGCGAAATCGAAGTTGTCCCACTCTGATTTCTACTAGCTGTGGTTGGTCTATAAACCGCTTGTCATCTGTAACGCGGCACTTGCTTGGGAATCTTAGTTATCTGTCATCACCTGTCACCGCCTTTTCCAATTCGTCCTCTCCATTTGCCGATCCTCAGTTTCGCCTCATGGTGCATATTCCCCACTTTCCGGCTTCATCGGTGCACCAAAGGAAGCGTTGACACAGGTATTAACTAAGTCCGGGTTTCTGCACCCATCGGCCGTCGGAGAGTTAACCACTACAACACGAAGTATTTTGGGAGTGCATCTCCTAACCCTGCAATACATATTTCGAGCAATTTTCAAAAACACCGGTTTCTCCACTTCAGACTTCCAACCTTAATAGGCACCGCTAGCTTAGCGTGATAGCGCTCGCGGCCAGTTAGGTTTGAGTAATCACATAATAAGCGTAAACGTAAATGCCCCTCCTATTCCACTTTCCAAAATCATGTCAGCGTTGCTTTTACTGGACTAATGGAGTAATACACAGGACCGAGGTATTTGTATGAATTCTCCAGGTCGGGTTTGTTTTCGACGTTCAGCGGCTCCCGTTCAAATAAAAGGCACAAGCGAAAAAAGAATGTAGCACTGTTCTTTACGTTTTCAGCGCCTGGTAGTAATCCTGCCAGAATGAAAACTCGCATAAAAAAGCACCTGAAAGTGCTTTGAACTGGGTACTAGGTGCGGCGTGAGCGATCGTCGGGGGAAGGTTACTCCACGCACCGGCTAATCGAAAGGAGATAAATTGTTGTATAGTAAAAGTGTGCGCCGAGCTTGATAACATTTTTACCACGTTCCCGCCGTGTATAAGTTGGGTCATCGGTGAAAAACACGTCGACCAAACCCTGTACACAGAGGGCATAAGTTTTAGGTTTATTTCAAGATACCCCAGAGGAAAGAGGTCAAGCACCACGAGACGCGTTTTATGACCAACAGACTTATGGGCAGCAACCTTTTTCGTAGCAGCTCGTCGGGTATGCTTAATGAAGGTTACGTCTTTCTTGCGTCCTGAGCAGACAACTTGATTGGCATATTCAAGAAGCGGTCTGACGTGGGCCCGAGAGTACCTAGAAGTCCATGCGAATATAACAATGGAAGTGTGTCGAATTAGCCGTTGAACGACCAGTTGTCTTTTGACCGATTTTTTAAGGTGCAGTGAGGACATTTTTGAAGAGAATCCGATACAAAATCCGTTGTAGTATTTATTCTCGGTGTCTTTTGATTTTTTAAGGTGCAGTGAGGACATTTTTGAAGAGAATCCGATACAAAATCCGTTGTAGTATTTATTCTCGGTGTCTTCTCTTCTGTTTTCACCATGCACGACAAAGGTGTTTTCGGAGTCGTCTCCAAATGACATATGCACGCACTTCGCGTCATTCAAAGGAAAATGCCAGTCTGACAACCAGGTTTGCGGCGTCTATATCCGCTGCCGTTGGAACTACAGGAAGAAATTAGATATGGACTTGAAAACAGATCTGGAGGGTCGCTAACTTGGGTTAGAGGCAAAAGTGGTCCAACAACGGAGCCTTAAGGAACTCCATTGGAGACCGGAGCTGAGGAGTAAGTCAGGCTTAGCCAGTATGAGCGACGTTTCCTTCAGAGTCCTTGGATGGACCTCGTCTGGTCCCAACGCGCTGTTCTGTGCAATAGCTGAGGAACCTCCTCCTCAGTGAAGATCAAGTTAGTTAGTAGCTGTTCTTGGTTACGCCTTGCGAAGATTGGATGTGATGAGGTCGCTGAGGCACAGTACATAGTGATCTTTGTAGGCTTCAGATACCACTCATGAGCATACTACTGTGTATAAGGTATCGTCTGAAACATGAGAAGATATCCTTGGTGCGTCATATGCATTACCAAATTTTGCCAAGTCGTTTCGGACGGGGTTATCCGGGACACTCCGTTCGGAGCAGCCGACCATCGGGTCGAGTGGATGGATGTGTGGTGAACCAGCAACGGACAAAAAGCCGAGTCCTGATTCGTCAGAATTTTGGCCAGTCAGCGCTGAATATCATTGCTCAGCACATCTGACTCCCCGTGAAGATTGGGATTTGCCGTTCAGGAAAAATTTGTGGTTGACCCATAAATAGAACCGAGGACAGCTTCCTTCGTAGCCAATAAAGGATGTCCCAAGCAACCTAGCCAAAGGAGTTACCGCAGTGGATGGAGCAACAAGATAAGAGCTGATTTGTTTGTGCCCTCATT